TCTAGTAAACCCACACAGACAGGAATAACCGCCCTGTATATCGACAAACTGCCACATTAGGACTCAGTAATGCTGGACTCTATGGGTGTACTGTATGTGGTTGGTGTTCTCACCAGCAGCAGCGCCTCCAGGTGACTGAGGTACGTTTCCTCCGTGGCCAAGATCCCAGACAGGACCCACTTCCTCATCTCCAAACCTTTTTCCAGGTCACATTCAGTCTGTAAAAAACAAAAACAAAAACACATTTGATCGTTAGAATAAAAAGCCTCAGCAATGCAATAACTCTACACACACCATTTAGCCCAATCCTGTGTGTTATTACCTCCCATTTTGTTGCTTATTCTTTGAAATGCTTTCTGTGTTCATACTTAAAGGTGTTGGATTCTTTTGTGTCTGAGTCATAAAGAGCATTCGGAGCAGAAAGACCTCTAATAAGGCTTGTTTGCGAGCCTCAAATTGAAGGGTTCCTCGCTCTTCGCCGAGCATGCGAAACTCTTGCAGGAATGCTGTTTTTGTTAAGAGTCTAAAAGATTAAACAGCAACAAATGAAACTTCTAGAAATCCTCCCCGGTTGCCTCCTCATTCCCTTCAGCCACAGTCAAAGCTCACTGAGGAGCGCAGACATGAAAGAAAGCAGAGAGACAGAGACATTCCTCGGGCTGTCTTGTTTAACCACGAACTCTGAAATAATTCAAACAGGCAGGGTCTCCCATGGCAGGAGAGAGAGAGAGAGAGAAAAAAAAAAGGGTTGGGGTATAAATATGTGCATGTATGAGAGAATGTGTAAAGTGTCAAGCACAAACACACACCAGCCCAGGTTGGGAATGGAGGCATCCAGTCCCTCAGGCTATGAGGAGGAGGAGGAAGGAGAGGAAACAGGAGAGGAAGAGTGACGGGAGGATGACAGAGACAGGAGAGCAGAAGAGGAGACGGTGATGGAGAAAAAAAAAGTGCACTCAGGGTAATTAGAAGAAGAAGAAGAGGGCAGAAAAGGACACACCATGAAAAGGACACAAACTATATTACAGGAAGCTGCCATGTCAGGTTCGTATGCGCTCTGCGTGGAAATCCTTCTGACAGTGCATACTACTGCTGCTGCCGTATACAGAGTGTCAGTACAGCGATCATGTGGCCGCCAAGTGTGAAAGCGCCTAAAGAAAGACTGAACATGTGAGGTGGGCAAAGAAAAGCACATAGAGGTCCTGCAGCTTTTTTCATCTTCAGTTCATTTCTAAAGGATAAGTTCAGCTTATGTTTTACAATTTAACTGAACAATGACGCCAGCTGATTGATTTTATCGCTATTTTTTAGTTTATCATGTGCTAAACCTCCTGCCCTCTTAAAACTATGTACAGTCACCCTCAAATGTATTCATATCCTTCCATTAAAGAAAAAGCAAAATTCACAATAGTCACTAAAATAACTAGAAACTGAAAAAAGTAATAATAAATAAAAATTTGCTAAATTATTATTTAGTGAAATGAGATGTTGCTTTTGAATTGTGGTTGAAAAGAATAATTAAAAAAATAAAAATAAATAACTGTCCCAGACAAATGAGAGCACTTTGCTGATGAGTAGTGAAATCAGAATACCTGTCAACAGGTGCACAAGTCTGATTGAGAGTTACATAAAACATCTGATTGGCTCAAAGAGTTGTTCAAGAAAATATTAGTTTACAGGTCCCATCATGCTTGTTTGCTTGTTTTTTTTTTGTGTTTTTTTTTTAATATTTCTGTTGAACCACAATTCAAAAGCAATGTCATGATTTTCATATTTTTTAAAATGTATTATTACTTTGTCAATTTCAACTTATTTCAGCTGTTTTTTCCTTCTTTAATACATTTGAGGACGACTGTGTGCTGTACTGTCAGCAACATGCTTGTATTAACGTGCACACTAAAACAACGCACGGCGCCCTTGTGAGCCACATTTACATGCACACGTGTACTTGGAGGACCTGGATGTCCGTGGGTGTACGTGCGTTTATTCAGATGAAGGGGTAAATGGGTCTGAAACCTGTTTCCATGGCCACTGCATAAGCAGATGCTAGCGCAGATCTGCTGGAATTGTTATAGCCCCGATGATTACGAAATGCTCCAGGATTATTATGGACTCCATTACACAGGAGTCCATTAGCAGCACGGCTGCCGCCGGGCTAAACACGCTTTGGATTGACTACAGTTCTACTGATTAGCCGGTTAGAACAAAAAATAAATAAATAAACACAATCTCAGCACTAGAACTTCAGATTCAGATTCAGCAACTTGACTGAGCAAAACAAATATATGGGGTTATAGTCGTAAATATAAGTCACTATTTATGCTCTGTGATTGGTTGAATTTAGATGTAAACATGACATTTATGTCCAGATTTTGAGACGCTATTTTGCACTTTGTTGTACTTTTTTAGCATCGGAATGAGTGTCAATGTGTACAGGAAAGCAAAAATTACTTTACTTGGAGCTACAACCTCAAATTATTTCCATTATTGATTAATCTGCTGATTATTTAGTCTACTAAATGTCTAAATTTGTGAAAAATGTCCAATACAATGTCCTAAAAACCCAACAGGACGTCCACACAAAGCAAATCCTCACAAATGAGAAGCTGGAACAAGAGACTGTTGAACACAATCACTGATTAACAAAATTATTTTTCTGTAAATCATCTAATTAGTTCATTGATCAGCCTCTGCAACCCTGGATAATCACAACAGATGCACTTTCTCCTCTTCTTTTTACTGTGCATCCTGCTCTTATCTGTTGATGTTTCTCCCGGATCAGTTCTCATCTTTCTCTCTCCATCTTTCTTTAGTGAAGGATAAAGGACTGATTCTGACAGCTATGTATTATGCATCACATGGAGCCGTCAGGGGATCCCAGCTATAGAACAATATCAGTTTCCGCAGAAAAAAGCTGTAACTGCTCCTCGTGCGTGGACACTAATACAACCAAAAGAGGGAAACAATTCCATTTGCAAATTAAGACAACAAATAAAAGCATATTGGAAGTAAATAAGTTATGCAATGATGATTTTTCTCCGGCGTAATGTGTTGCTCTGCAGCAGCTTTCTGTCCGTCTCCACTGACTTTAAAAGGGGGAACGCCTGGGGCAGCAACCGAGCCCCTGGAATATTTGTGAAATAATGAAAAATGAATGAAAATCCACGCTGAGCGACAAGTATCAGCGCGCGACTTCACCCTCGCCTGCTGGTGAAGCAACATGAGGAACATGAGGGTCCATTTGAAACATCAAGAAACATTCAAAGAAAATCACGAGGAGGGAACTTTAACCATCCAGCCACATTTCACCCAACCAGCAGACGGGAGGCATAAAGTGTTTATTCATCGTTTCAGACCCCAGACGGCTCCCCGAGGAAGTACCCACTTCTGCAGACATATCATCTTTTATTCATCGCCGTGGCAACTAATGAGCCCATCTCTGGGCTCAGACTAAAGGGGGGTGTCTGCCTGCATTTTCTGCAATCAAAAAAAAGTACGAATAAAACACGTTGTCTCCGCTCGGGGTACATGTAGGTTCGCGTGTCCGTGTGTTCGTGTCCGGTTTGTGCAACAAAAAGCTAATATTTCACATCTGAACCTACGTTTCAACTCCCCTTAGCGGGAACTCAACCTAACGAGATTTAGGAATTCTGATTTGCTTCTGATTTGTTTATGGACGAATAATGTTCCCAGGAGATACACAAGAATCAGAGCCAAAAAAAAAAAAAAGTGTGTATTTGACAAGCAGATGCAGCTCAGGGGGCTGAGATGGAGACTGGGCAACGGTAATAGCATTACTCCCCATCTCTCTCTCTCGCTCCCTCTTTCCCATAGCATGTAGGAGACTGCCAGCTCATATAACCGCTTTGAACCAGGTTGGAGAGGAGAGAAGTAAATGGCAACGCACGCTCCATTCCACACTTTATTAACCCTTTTCAATTTTCATTCTTCATATTCTAATCTGTTTAGCTTCCTGTTCTGCCATCCCTCACTTTCTGAAACGCCTAATGTAATTGCTTCCCATCTCCACGTCTGCTATGAAATGGAGCTGTCTCGGAATTATCCCGAGCTGCAGGAGAGAGAGACGGCTGGTTTTTAAAATGCAGCATTACTTCTGCTTATTTAAACTGCATTTCAGTCGGACGCGATGCACGTCGACGGGTGTCTGCCAAACGACGCCGAGGCTTTGATTGCGAGCAGCGAAGGTTCTTCCGAGACGTGTTGCAGTCCATCAGCGGAGATGTAATTCCAGATGCTGGTCATTTAGGCGGTTTAGTGCTGACTGAGCAGGAAAAGAAATTACCTCACTCATCAGGCTGTGACCTTAAGGTGCGACGAGAGAAGAGCGGTGAGGATGTTTTAATACACAGGGATTTATGAACTAGGATGAATTCCGGGGACGCCTTGGTGGCTCGTGGGGGGTTTAAGGCACAAACCATTAACTGCAACATCCCTGGTTTCTCTGCTATCTCTCTCCTTCGCTTCCTGTCATCTCTCCACTGACAACTATATGAGAAAGTCATAAAAAAGTCGAATAAATGTAAAGGAAAGAAGAATTCTGCTTTACTTGGCGTGAAAGAAATGGAGTGAGGCTCCATTTCTTTCAGTGAATGGTTGTCTTTGACTGATTTAAAAGGTCACACTGGGATTATACGTACAGTAGATTATGTACAGTACATGACAAAAGTGAGCAAGCTGCAGCGCAATATCACCTAAATGTCAAATGACTAGAAAACAAAACTGAGTACAGCTGCATGAACATGTCTGCATCTCTACATCATGGCTCCACATGGACAACAGTGAAGCTGGAAAATCTGTTTAACTTCACAAAGATGGAAAAAGGATGCAGGATGATTGGTAACCAGTTAAACATCAGTGAAAACACGGTTGCAGCAGTAATCAGGAGGTATAGAACGAGCCATAGTACCACTAATCAGAGCTGCAGTGGCAATACTTCTAAAATGATGGCCCGGACAATCCATCTATCCATTATCTATACACCACTTAATCCTCACTAGGGTCATGGGGGGCTGGAGTCTATCCCAGCTGACTCAGGGTGAAGACAGGNGTGGGAGGAAGCCGGAGAACCCGGAGAGAACCCACGCTGCACGGGGAGAACATGGAGACTCCACGCAGAAAGATCCCGGGTGTCCTCACCGGGATGCCAACCGGTAACCTTCTTGCTGCGAGGCAACGGTGCTAACCACTGATCCACCTTGCAGCCCCAAATTGAACATGGAAGTACTAAAGTATCTGTAGTATGTAGAGCCACCATTTTTACAATAGTGGTGACATCTGTACATAATAATTCTACGGTTTTAATTCAACTTTTGTTTTCTCTTTTTTGTGATTTATGGCATTACAACTGCATCAAGTTGCACAATAGATACTTTCAAGTTCCTTCTACTTCTGCCGTGGTTGTAAATGGTCTGCACTTATATAGCGCTTTACAATGTGTTTCTGATTCAGCCATTCACACACACATTCATACACCAATGGCAACAGATGCAAGGCGCTGCCTGCCATTAGGACACTTTGACTGTGGCGGGGCCGGGGGATCAAACCACCAACCTAGTGATTGGGGACAACTGCTCTACCACCTGAGCCACAGCTGCCTTAACTTCATCCATACCAGAGCAGTACCTTGTATTCCAGTGAAAAATGAGCCCACAGGGACTAAAAACGTGGTAGGAGCAAACAACACCCAGAAACTGTTGGGATTCAGAAGGTTATCCATAACAACCTGCTATAGGTTTCCACATCAAGCCTTTTCAGAAAGTCAAACAGATCCTATGGGGTCCTTTAGAGGAGTCTCACCAACAGGAACCTTCTACTTGGACATGAGGTTGTGGCCAAAAAAAAGAGTATCAGCCAATAAAAAATTGCAGCATCACTTTAGGATACAACATTGTGTGCCAAAATAACGACACCTACTGAAGTGCTTGTGTTGGAAACGATGCTGAAGATTGGATCAAAACAGAAAAAGCGTCTGAGCTGTGAGACCAGAACAAGAGCTCAAATCAGGCTCAAGACATGCTAGGGTAACGTAGCCGCAACTGATCCTGCTTTAAGATTTGGCGATATGGATTTTCAGGAGTGTCACAGTGGCCCTAATGCAGTCTGAGTTTGCTAAACTTTACAGCGAAAGTCAGGTACTTAAAAAACTTCTAGTAAACCCACACAGACAGGAATAACCGCCCTGTATATCGACAAACTGCCACATTAGGACTCAGTAATGCTGGACTCTATGGGTGTACTGTATGTGGTTGGTGTTCTCACCAGCAGCAGCGCCTCCAGGTGACTGAGGTACGTTTCCTCCGTGGCCAAGATCCCAGACAGGACCCACTTCCTCATCTCCAAACCTTTTTCCAGGTCACATTCAGTCTGTAAAAAACAAAAACAAAAACACATTTGATCGTTAGAATAAAAAGCCTCAGCAATGCAATAACTCTACACACACCATTTAGCCCAATCCTGTGTGTTATTACCTCCCATTTTGTTGCTTATTCTTTGAAATGCTTTCTGTTTTCATACTTAAAGGTGTTGGATTCTTTTGTGTCTGAGTCATAAAGAGCATTCGGAGCAGAAAGACCTCTAATAAGGCTTGTTTGCGAGCCTCAAATTGAAGGGTTCCTCGCTCTTCGCCGAGCATGCGAAACTCTTGCAGGAATGCTGTTTTTGTTAAGAGTCTAAAAGATTAAACAGCAACAAATGAAACTTCTAGAAATCCTCCCCGGTTGCCTCCTCATTCCCTTCAGCCACAGTCAAAGCTCACTGAGGAGCGCAGACATGAAAGAAAGCAGAGAGACAGAGACATTCCTCGGGCTGTCTTGTTTAACCACGAACTCTGAAATAATTCAAACAGGCAGGGTCTCCCATGGCAGGAGAGAGAGAGAGAGAGAAAAAAAAAAGGGTTGGGGTATAAATATGTGCATGTATGAGAGAATGTGTAAAGTGTCAAGCACAAACACACACCAGCCCAGGTTGGGAATGGAGGCATCCAGTCCCTCAGGCTATGAGGAGGAGGAGGAAGGAGAGGAAACAGGAGAGGAAGAGTGACGGGAGGATGACAGAGACAGGAGAGCAGAAGAGGAGACGGTGATGGAGAAAAAAAAAGTGCACTCAGGGTAATTAGAAGAAGAAGAAGAGGGCAGAAAAGGACACACCATGAAAAGGACACAAACTATATTACAGGAAGCTGCCATGTCAGGTTCGTATGCGCTCTGCGTGGAAATCCTTCTGACAGTGCATACTACTGCTGCTGCCGTATACAGAGTGTCAGTACAGCGATCATGTGGCCGCCAAGTGTGAAAGCGCCTAAAGAAAGACTGAACATGTGAGGTGGGCAAAGAAAAGCACATAGAGGTCCTGCAGCTTTTTTCATCTTCAGTTCATTTCTAAAGGATAAGTTCAGCTTATGTTTTACAATTTAACTGAACAATGACGCCAGCTGATTGATTTTATCGCTATTTTTTAGTTTATCATGTGCTAAACCTCCTGCCCTCTTAAAACTATGTACAGTCACCCTCAAATGTATTCATATCCTTCCATTAAAGAAAA